AAGGATTTGAGTTATCTTCGATATTTTTTGAGTATTGAGGTAGCATACTTACCTAGAGGTTACCTTTTTTCTTAGTCGAAATATGTTGCAGATATTCATGAGTGGGCTAAACTTACTGATAACAAGACTGTAGATACTTCTATTGAGGTTAACGCAAAGTATTCTTCTTCTTATGGTTTGCTTTTGATAGATCCTACTTTATACCTCACTATTATTGGAAGTTTGGTATATCTCACAATTACTTGTCCAGATATTGCATATGTTGTTCATGTTGTTAGTCAATTTGTTGCTTCTCCTACTACTGTTCACTAGGCAGCTGTTCTTTTACTTTCATCCACCTCTTCCTTGGAGTTACGTGCATACTCTGATGCTGATCATGGTAGTGATACCACAGATCACAAATCTGTTACTGGGTTTTGTATCTTTTTAGGTGATTCTTTTATTTCTTGGAAGAGCAAGAAATAATCTATTGTTTCTCAATTATCCACCGAAGCAGAATATCATACAATGACATCTACTACCAAAGAGATTGTTTGGTTACCTTGGTTACTTACTGATATGAGAGTTTCCTTTTCTCATCCTACTCCTATATATTGTGACAACCAAAGTTCTATTCAGAATACTCACAACTCGATTTTTCATGAGCAAACTAAGCATATTAAGATTGATTGTCATCTTACTCGTCACCATCTCAAACATGACACCATTGCTTTGCCTTTTATTCCTTTTTCCTTGTAAATTGCAGATTTCTTTACCAAGACGCATTCCACCTCTCGTTTTTATTTTCTAGTTGGCAAACTCTTGATACTTATAGCTGCTGCATCGTGAGTTTAAGGAAAGATATTAAAAAATATTTATGTAATTTTATTTATTAAGGGTAGAATAATATTTTTAGTTTAATCTATATATACTTTATATGTATTTAGCTTAATGCTAAATATTCATAATTAACAATTTATATGTATTTAGCTTAATGCTAAATACTCATAATTAACAAATTATTTAAAATTATAGCTTTCCTTTTGTGTTTGATTTTAATTATTTTAGCAGGTAAATTATACACGCATCAGTGACATTGTCTGCACCAAGCCCATATTTTCTCATCAAGGAGCCATGTGCACCTCCAGTAATGTGCCCACCAATACCTAAACTTGTGCAAGTACCAGCCGGGGAGCCATGAGTTGTTCTTTGCTCAGCAATTCTGTATTAGAGTTCACCATTTGTGGCACCTGCATGAACCCATGCACTATTATTGTCGATATCAACACTAATGGAATGAAGCTCAGCAATGTCAACAACAACGAAAGGTGTATCAGTTTCAGAAACATAAGAGAGTCCCTCATAGTCATGGCCTCCACTACTGACTCTAAGGTGGATTCCAAGCTGTTTTGAGCAAATTACAGCAGCTTGAATGTGAGATTCTTCCAAAGGAGTAAAGATAAACTCAGGTTTGGGCATGGAAGACAATGTAAACCTAAGGTTTTGAGCAGAAGAATGTAAAATAGCGGTGAAGGAAGAGTTAATAGGAGAATACAAGACAGTGGAAAAAGGAATGGACGATGCAGAATTTCTTGTGAGACACTGTAGAAACCTATCCTGATCCTGAATTGGATGTGAACCCATCCGAGATGGTGTTAACACAAGAACTACAAGTATTGAAAGAACGGAAAATCTGGAAGGAACCATTATCCTCCTTTCGCTGCTCTGGCTTTGTGTGCAAGAATTCAATTCTCACGAGTTGTCTTGTAGATATTGAGCTAATCCTATATAACATCATCTTGGCAATGTATATTCTCTGCATCTAACCAATTTGGAGCAACTAGATATTGACTCATGACATTGAAATTGGTACTGAATGTGATTGATTTTGTAAGCAATCTCAAAATCTTCCAATAATGTTTATATCATTTAATATTTGGCACAAGATCGAAGGAGATATATACTCTAAGAGGGAGCATCATCTTCACACTTATTTGAGGATACATCATTTTCATCATAGTCTGATAGCAGCTGAAAAGGGGGAAACATCAAATCGCCACTGCCCCTTCCCTAAAGGCCAGCTATCTCTTACCTTGTAACTGAAAAAGGAGAAAAAGAAAAAAAGAATGCAGCTCCAACTTTATTTTCCTTTTCGTAACTGCTGCTGTTCTGCAATTACTGCTGTCATATATTATATCTTTTCAAAAAATTATTTCAATCTAATATTTTAAATTATTATATAAAATTTAAAAATAAAATTTGTATTTTTTTAATACATTTTTTCGATTAAAAATTCTTTAAATTTAAAACTTATACAAACCCATATTACTTTATATTTAATTTTTATCAAATAAATAGAAATAATAAAATTTAAATGTGTAAAATAAATAAAAATGATGAAATTTAAATACATAATTATTTGATAATTAAAGCTATGACACTATATCAAAAAACTATCTTAACTTAATAATTTAAACAGTTAGGTCTTAAAATATAATTTATATTATTCTTTAAAATACTTATTATTCATATTCATAGTTTTAATTTTTTTCATGTGAGCATGAATAGATGATTAATTAACAAAATGGATTAACCAACAAAAGCAATTCAATCACTTGGTAAAATTGATTATTTAAAAAAAAATAAAAAAAAATCATCTGGATTACCAAAAGTATCTTGAGTTCCATAAGAGTTCAAAGAATTCCCAACATTAGGTATTCTTTACTTTTAGTTTGAAAGCTTAACATACCATTTTTGTATACTTCATATTATAATATCAAAAAATCAATTTCGATTGCTATGAGCTGTAACATCATTTTTGGTGAGAAAATGCATAAAGACTATCAAGTATCACCTGAACATTAGCCTTTTTTCTGGTTGTCATCCTGCACGAAAGATTAAATATAATGCTACAGTCATTATTTTTCTGTAATTTTTGACTTGTTTTGCTAGCTGGGCATGCATGATTGGCTTTCCAAAAGACTATATACCCTCCTTCCCACTTAGGTTTATAACAATGAAGAAGGGTAGTTGAGCGTGGGGCATGTTTAATCACAGTGCAACAAGTTGGGTTCAATTTCCAATTCTTTGTGCAATTGGTATCACAATTGTTGATTTTCAGTAGTGTTGTTTTGGCTCCAATAAATTTCTGCTTTGAAGTTACTTTCTCGTATGGTATTTGGGAAAACTCAAAACTGAAAAATCATGAGGTTTCTGACTTCTTAATTTTGTTCATCAAGAGGTTTATTGGATTTGAGTTTACACGTTAATGATTGTAACATTTTTCCATTACACAATAAGAACAAAATAATCTAGAGGTTTATTGGCTATTACGTACGTACATAAACATTAAAGTACACATACTTACGTGTCGTTTACTTTTTTTTCAAATAATTTTATATTTTTTAAATCAATAAATTAATTAAAAAAGAGGCCATCAAGGTAGTGGCCAAAAAAACAGTGTTATAATGCGTCACTCACCGGTCTGCCACTGGCATAACTTCACCAACTCTCAAATTTAGCATTCATAATAATTGTAAATGAAAGCAAAATTCAAATTTATGGAGGCAGGAGGTTTTTGACACCAAAATTGAGGAGAAATGGACAAAAAACAGTCTGAAAAAAGAGGTTCAGTTTTTGAATTTAAAAAGTGTTTTTGAAAACTTTTTATTTTTTTATTTTAAATTATTTTTTAATGGTTTTGGATAATTTTAATGTGTTGATATAAAAAATTTAAAAAACTAAAAAATATTATTTTAATATATTTTCAAATAAAAAATATTTTAAAAAATTAATAACTTATTATTATGCAAGTGATTGAAAAAAGTCTTGGTATCTCTTGCATTATTCCTTTTAAAAAAACAGTGCCATAAGCATAAGAATCACGCTTCCTTCGCTCCACAGCCAGAGATCTGTTGGTGTATCATATTATTCACAAAGCTAATAATTAAATATTAGACCAACTCATCTATCCTTTATATAATTTGATTCTTTCAAATTGAAATGAATTAATGCATTTCTTTTTCGAAAAGTAAATAGTTAATTTTTTTTACATTAATCATGAGCATGTCTTGGGATCATAAAAAAAAAGCAACCACCCTTTTAGTTGGAAAAAAATGCTTAGAATAATATTAATGTTGTTAATCCATAATATAATTTTTTTTCATCTAATAAATTAAAATGATTATTTGATGAGTTTGGTTTAAATGTTGTTAATGAATAATATAATTTTTGAATAATATAATTTTTTTTAAAATTGTCATCTAATAAATTAAAAATTTAAATTGAAATGATTATTTAATGATTTCGGTTCAAATTTCTTCTTAGTCACTCTCTCAATCATTGATTGCTCAGTGGCCATATTGGATAGGATATGCTCGGAAACAATGTGCATCAGACATCATCACCTCCAAACTCTCCAGCAGCGTCACCATCAGTAAATTGTTTAAGTGTTGCATTTAACATGGTTTAGAGCTTTTATAATCAAGTAAAAAAAAAATTTAAAATAAAGTTAAAGCATATGTTAATAATAAATCTGTATAAATTTTAAATTTAAAAGATTATCACAAAAAATAGTTAAAAAATAATATAAAACTATTTTTAAAACACAATCTAACTTTATTGAATTGAAATAATTATGAAATAACTTCCATCGTCATGATTCATTCGTCGCTTTATGTTATTGTTGATCGCAGGCCTCATTCCTTTTCAAACAACGGCCATGATCTGTTCGTAAACTGTTAAAGAATACTATCACGTTTATAATTACCTGTATAAACATGACAGGACCAGCTAGAGTTATTTTTAATTAATTAGACATTTAATGGCCAAAAATTCTGATCTTAAAGATTTGAGATCGCCGACATATCAATTGTTCAGATTGACAATTCAATTCTAGTGTCATCTAAAACATTTATGCTTTGTAATGATTGCAGAGTAATATTATATTCCTAAGATAATGTAAGGATTAAAACAATTTTCGGTCACCTCATCACAGCTCCTCTCTATAAGAGAACGCCTTGGACTTCAATTCTTGAAGGCAAGCCAGAGTGGCAAGAAAGCAGGAAAAATGGTGCCTTCAAGATCTTCCATACTTTCAATATTTGTGGCCCTACTCCTATCTCCATTAATAGTTTCACTTCCAATTCAGGATAGGTTTCTAAAATGTCTCTCAAAATATTCAGATACATCCTTTCCTTTTTCCACTGTCTTGTATACTCCACAAAACTCTTCTTTCACCAGTGTCTTGCAATCTTATGCTCAAAACCTCAGGTTCACCTTGCCTTCAGTACCGAAACCCGAGTTTATCTTCACTCCTTTACAAGAATCTCACATCCAAGCTGTTGTTATTTGCTCTAAGCAGCTTGAGATCCACCTTAGAGTCCGTAGCGGAGGCCATGATTTTGAGGGACTCTCTTATGTTTCAGAAATCGACAAACCTTTCATTGTTGTAGACCTTGCGAAGCTCCGATCCATTAGCGTTGATATTGAAGATAACAGTGCGTGGGTTCAGGTGGGTGCCACGAATGGTGAACTTTACTACAGAATTTCTGAGAAAAGCAAAACTCATGGCTTCCCAGCTGGTACTTGCTCAAGTTTAGGTATGGGGGGGCACATTTCAGGAGGTGCATATGGTGCCATGCTGCGAAAATATGGCCTTGGAGCAGATAATGTCGTTGATGCACATATAATTGATGTTCATGGAAGACTTCTTGACAGAAAATCCATGGGCGAAGATCTTTTTTGGGCCATCAGAGGAGGTGCAGGGGGCAGCTTCGGAATCGTCACCGCCTGGAAGTTAAAATTGGTTTCTGTACCATCAACGGTGACAGTATTTACAGTTACCAAGACTTTAGAACAAGGGGCAACTAAGATCCTTTATAGATGGCAAGAAATTGCTGATAAACTAGACGAGGATCTTTTCATCAGAGTACTCATTCAGACAGCTAACGTCACCTCTCCGGGTAAAAGAACTATTGCTACTTCTTACAATTCCTTGTTTCTTGGTGATGCCAGCAAGCTTCTTCAGATAATGCAGCGCAGCTTTCCTGAATTGGGTTTGACACGAAAAGATTGTATCGAAACAAACTGGATCAATTCCACTGTATTTATGGCTTTGCTCCAAAATAATACTCCTCCTGAAGTTTTCCTTCAAAGAACAGACCTGAACAGGTGGTATTTCAAAGCCAAATCGGACTACGCCAAAAAACCCGTCTCTGAAAAGGCACTTGAAGGGTTATGGGAGAAGTTATTTGAAGAAGAGAATCCTCTAATAGTGTTTACTCCTTATGGTGGAATGATGAGCCAAATTTCAGAATCTCAGACTCCTTTCCCTCACAGAAAAGGTACCAAGTTCATGATTCTGTACTATACCGGCTGGCAAGATGCAAAGGAAAACGTTGCAAAGCATATCGATTGGACTAGGATGGTTTACAATTACATGACACCTTACGTCTCAAAGAACCCAAGGGAAGCATACGTGAATTACAGGGATCTTGATTTGGGCATGAACAACGATTCTAACACAAGTTTTGTTGAAGCAAGTGTTTTTGGTACTAAGTACTTCAAGGATAACTTCTACAGGTTGGTGCATGCGAAGACCGAAGTTGATCCTGATAATTTCTTCAGGCACGAACAAAGCATTCCACCACTTCCACTGCACATGAGATAAAGAAATTGAAGTGGAATTCATCTCCAGCAAAGCTTAGTTGGATCACTATTTTCACAAGTCTTGATCGATCTTCTTGTTGTTGTTTTTTTAATACTTTAGCTAAATAAAGAAATGCCATGTTATGCAATCATTCTGTCTGGGGTTTATTTATTATAAATAAAAACTTTGCATTGTACAGTCCAATTTGTTGATGAAGAACGATGGGAAAATGTTTCGAGTTAAAATGGCCGACTAGAAAACACCCTTCTTAAGGTGTTTTGCCACTGCTCTGATCAAACTTTTCTTCTTCTTTTTTCAAGTATCCCTTAGCTTGTCAATTTTAATCCTTCCATCTCTCTGGTTTTTTTTTAATCTTTCTTTATTATTTTAACACTTTGTGCTAACTTCTTGAATCTCTTTTATGTATTATTTTAAGCACATGTATAGGAACTACTAGTATTAAATTAAATATTCCAGTAATATATAGCCATCGAACCTTATGACATATGATGAGTTTGTTCACACATCAATTGAACGTTTGGGTACGAATCAATCCAAGGTTTCTTGTGAGCGTACTTAAAATCTTGCTTGCACATTCATTGTTTATATCAGCAACCTTAGTCAAACCAAAAGTTTAAAAAATAAAAGAACGAAAGAGAGTTTAACTATATGGATTAATTTAAAATAGATTAGCTTGTCAATTTTGTCTTGGAGGTTCTAATCCTATAACGATATACCAAGATAATTTAATATTTGTTCTACTAATTTTACCTTCTAAAACATACCCTCTCCTCCCACCATGGAAGTTGGTCTAGTAGTACAATAAGTTTTGTTTTTCAAAGGATCCATTAAATCTTGGATTGTATAATAGGATGCACTTCACCTTTTTATATAATAATTAAATAAATTATTAACAAAACACTAAAGTAAATCAAGGTTTTACTATTTATATAGATACAAGACAATATGAATTTAAAAAATATAATAACAATTTCATCCTTATAAAAAAATTTAATAAATTTTATATTAGGGCAGCACTTTTTTTTTTCACGAGGTCAATTATTATTAGATTGACCAAGGAAAATCATTATTCTCATACTTGTTAAGCATAGTAAAATAATTAAATTATTCTTAAAATAAAAAAAAATATTTAGTTGTTATTCAAGTTATTTTTAACACAATGAAATAATTAGTTATACTTAAAAGAAAAAATTATTAAAATAATATCTTTTTTGTTCTAACCAAGTTTACTTAGGGATAATTAGTCATCTATAAAAAACATAAAATATTATTTAAAACAATTGGCTAGCACATTGACATATGTGCCACTCAGTAAGAAGCTCTTGTAATCTTTTAGTGAAGAATGAGAGGGAGTCTAGTGCCCTAGCAATAACTTTTGAGATAGTGTTTGAATTGTCTTGATATCTCTTTTATTCTTAGGTGAGGCGTGTGTCTTATTTATATCTAGTTTGATGCCAACTAATTTTTTTTCTTTTTTTTTTTTTCTCTCTTCTCCTCAATTTCCATGTCTGACTCTCTTAATTTTCAAAACATCCTTTCAATTCTTTTTTCTTTAGATTTTGTTCTATTTTAATTACTATTTTTTTTATTTCATATAATTTATAAAATTGAAGTTTTTTCAATTTCATCCACTAATTTTTTTATTTGTCAGATTTAGTCCTTATTCTTTTGATTTCTATTTGAGAAAAAATTTTAAATTGATTTTTTTAAGATTTCATCTTCATTTTTTTTCTCTTATCAATTTTGATCTTTATTCTTTTGATTATTGTTTTTAATACTTTGATTTTTTTAAAATTAATATTTTTTATTTTATCCTTTAATATTAAATTGGTTGAGAATTGAGCTTTTTAATTGAATCCCTATCTGGAATTTCATAAGTTATAAGTTTGGAGAATTAACCTAAATTGAAAAGATTAACCTTGATTTAGCAATCATTACATTTTATCCAAATAACAACCGGTTGAAAAAGAAAAAAACACCTATCATCTTAATTTGTTTCTTTCTTATTAAAAACCAAATTATTGCAAGCATTCCCAAAACACCACACTATAGCAAAGAAGGAAAAATACCACACCTTTATTTGCATAGACTCATACCATGCCACTCTATAATAAGAAAAAATCATTAGAGACTAATACAAGATCAAATATTATCCTAACTAGTCTACTCTTGAGACCATAACTTCCAGATGATAAGTTAAGGTTTCAATTTTTTTTCATGAAAAAACAATTTAAATTATTATTTTATAATATAACTCTTTTATAAAAAAAAAGTTTTTATAAGTAATTTATTCAAAATTGAAAACCATAAATAAAACTTTGAAAGAGCACCATAATATCATATGTCTTGTATATCTTATCGAAATGAGTTTTCGCATGTCAAAAGAGAAGACTCGAGAAAGTTAATGCAACTCTTGACTAAAAAACCATTTTTTGGGTCTGTTCTCTAAACTTTCCTATCAGTAATATTTTAGCACAAGGAAACACCTGATAACAAATATAATAATTCCTCTTCCTTTATCTTTTCCCAGTCCCAAAGCCTTGACTTCCAAGATTAGGAGCAATTCCAACTGAATTCTAAAATCTTAGCATTAAAATTTCCACAAACTGCACAAAGAGTTGGAAATCTAAACATAAAGATAGAAACCGCTTTGGAGTCCAAAAGAAAGTGCCATTCTCATTTCCCATAACCATTGAAGTTGCATTTTGCACACCAAAAGCACACTCCTTCGCATAAGTGATACTTGCAAACATCACACTAAAGAGGCAAAATAGTTCCTGAAAAATTTCCCAACACCCCACTATTATCAAGTTGATGTTTTATATCCATAGAATTTTTCCAAGCTATTGTGGCATCATTATTACATCTTGTTGGGTATGCGACCAAAGTCCCACATTGGTTAGAAATGGGGAGGATCAAGGGTATATAAGGATGGACAAATATCTCCATTGGTATGAGGCCTTTTGGGTATAACCCAAGAGCAAATCCATGAGGGCTTAGGCCCAAAGTGCACAATTGGCTAAGGAGTTTGATATAAAGGACTTGGGACCAGCAAACAAGATTCTAGAGATGCAAATTTACCGAGACAGAAGTAAGAGGAAGATTTGGCTTTCTCAAAAGAATTATTTGCCACAAGTGGTATCAGAGCCATGCCCTAGAGTTAGCCATGATGGATGGATCCTCGGAATGCTGAACAAAAGGTGGTGAGCCCTAATTAAATCACGATGTGATCCATGAATCAGCTCTATTGGATAGGCGGTGTGCTCCAGATGCTTCATGGACGTGTCCTGATCTCAACACGGTGAAGAGGAGTTGACCTAGAAAGAGCAAAAACTCTCAAGTCAGGTAGTGCTCTCCGGATGCTTCATGGACGTGTCCTGACCCCAACACGATGAAGTAGAAGATGAAAAATCCTGGTTGGCAGAGAGTGGATGGATAAATGATCGTTTGAGGAGAGGCTCGGTGGTCCTTTGTTCGAGGGAAGGATTGTTGGGTATGCGATCAAAGTCCCACATTGGTTAGAAATGGGGAGGATCAAGGGTATATAAGGATGGACAAATATCTCCATTGGTAAAAGGCCTTTTGGGTATAACACAAGAGCAAATCCATGAGGGCTTAGGCCCAAAGTGGACAATATCATATCAATGTGGAGATAGGTGGTGTCCGTAATCCTTACACATCTCCATAACCATTTCAACAATATTGATTTGGTTTTTTGCCAAGATAAATATGATTCCCAATCCCCCAAACTCTTGGCCTAATTAGAAAATTTCAAGCTACCTTCCTGATATTTGAAGTATTCATATCTCTACTCTAAAAAAAAATCTTTGCTGCTTCAAGACAAATTTCATTGCCGCTTGAAGACAAATTTCTTTGCCACTTAGTAGGAATCTTAAACAAGAATATATAATAAATTGGAAGATTAGACTGCACAAACTTTATTAAACAAAGTCTTTCATGTATCGAATGAATCCTACCCTTCCAAGTCCGAAGATGAGAACTAAGCTTTTTCAAAATTAGTTTAACAGTCTCGGATTAGCTCCCTTAGTAAGCCCTAGGCATTTATTTATCAATGACTTGAAAGATATCTAATGATTACTTTATACACACACCGGGGAAGGAATGACAAATAGCATGCATTAACTGTCCTGATAGAGAAAAAATATTAAATATAATAATTAATTAACATCTTAAGGGCTAATCCCATAAAGTGGCTATTTCTAAAGTATATTTGTTTTCATGAAAGATCCAGCCAATTGGCACTGAACAAGTTCTTCGATCCCAATTTCTAAAGCATAATTAATCAACTATTGTTTCTAGTGTTCAATATAAAGCCTTTAAACTTGTTCTGTTTTTTCCTGTTCTTACCATCTCAGTTGTTTTTGGATTTGACAAATAATTCACCCTTTACAGTTCTTTCTTGCCTCATCAGCATTCTTTATTTTTGTACTTGTAGTGCATTCAACAACCTTATTAAAGTAATGCTTGACAGATCTCTAGAGTTTTATGAGATTATTAACTTAAACTTCTCTGGAATTGTTACTAGAATATTTTAAACAATTTTAAAATAAAAAAAATTAGTGACAATGAGTCTTATATTATTAACAATATTAAGAAGTTTGTTAGAATATTCCTTGATTGTATTTTATTATTTCATCTTTTGTAACTCAAATTCTCAAATTAAGTTCAACATCTACATCCATTTGATTCTCTCATTTCCTTTGTATTCTCCTTTTAGAAAATCTCAGATTTCCTTTATTGTTTTTATAGTCATTATTATGTAAAAAATGATAGGTGAGACTGTTGTAAACAAAATTGCTTTTTCTTTGGATATTCTCTGCTTTTTCTCTTTGTGATTTTTTATTTATGCAACTTTTGGATTGTTTGAAAGAATTGACACTTCATATATTTATCCAATTGCTTTCCATAGATCATTAGCATTAAGATAGGCTTCCATTCTAACAGCCTAGACTTGATAATTGATCCCGTGAAATATTGGAGGTGCAATTGCAATAAATAATATTTCTAAGTTCATATTAGATGTGTTTTATTTAGATGAGAAGTATTTGAAGGTTGTGTTTAGGCTCTTTTAATTTCACAAGTGTTTGAAGGTTGTGTTTAGGATCTCTTAATCTCACAAGCCCCTTAAAAAAATCAACTCATATACCAATTTATTGTTTATA